TCCATCTGCTGCACCTGCTCTGTTTGCTGGACAAGGCCGTACACCCTTGATTTACACAGCAGAAGAGAGGGAAGAGCAGCCAAGCACCCGTCCTGCTATTTCAGAGGGGAGGAGGCATGTGTCTGCCGATTGCTTCCAAGGCTTGCAAGACATCTCCGGACTCCAAACAGACTGATCCCTCGTCCTCCAGGATCTTGCCAGCTGCCAAGAAAGTGGCTGCATGTAGCCACGGCAAGCCCGGGTCGCTTATCAGCCATTCCCTGGGGCTGTCCTTCACCTTTGGGTGCTGTTTCCACCACCTCCATGGGACCACTCACCTCAACATCCTGCCGACTACACCACTTGTTAGCCCAAGGGGTTGTGGTGGCTGGGTAGGAGGGGGATTTTTGTGGGTGAGGAGCCAAGGTTAAAGAATAACACGTGTGTGAGACATCAGCAGTGACAGCAGGCAGCGCGGCCGAGCAGAGGGCCAGAGTGAGAGCACAGGGAGCCGCTTGGTCTTCATTGTCTTGTTGCTATCTAGCTGTTGTTGCTCACTTACACTCTCACGTGGCGCTGTAAACAGCACGTGCACGTCCTCCTGTGCTAAGCGACGGTTACATAACTGTGTCCCCCTGTGAGCCTGCGCAGACAAGCGGGGTCGTGTGCTCAGGTGCTCCTAGATGCCCTGAGCTTTGAAGCGGTCCGAGTGGCTCCCCACAGATTCCCCCTTGGTGGGGCATGTGTAGTGCACTTCAGAGGTCCCAGGTTCTTTGCATATATGATCTTACTTGGAATACAAGTTTTTAATAGAATATCATAAAACAAACAAATAAAAAGTGTTAAATCTTACTCTAGTTGTTTTGATGATGCTTTAGGGGCTCTGAACTCAGTGCATCACCTTGTTGGATTCTCACTCAGGAACCGTGAAACAGATGCTATGGTCACTTTCAATTAGCACCTGAAGTATCAGAGATTCAGGTCAAGTGACCAGCCTGTGGCCTGCTACTACGTGGGGGCGACTCCACAGCTAGCTAAAAGCAGGACCTGTATGAGCCGAATTCAATATTGGTGATGGGGAGAATGCGGCTACTCAGGGGCATGGGAAAGTCTCCTGCGTGCTGCCTTCCTGCTGGGGGATTCTGGCGCGGCCGGAGATCGGTGTGAGCTCTGCCTAGCGTAGCTCTCTAACTCGGTTCTACTTTCACCCTTGATTCTCTCAGTGTCTACCCGATAGTCTGGTTAAAGAGAGCCAAGAGAGTAGATTGAGTTTTGGGAAAGCAGGATGGAGACTTTTTAGCAGGGGAAAAAGAGAGGAAGAGCAGGATGAGGATGAGGAGGAGGAGGA